AGATAACAGCAATAAGAACAAAATGTCTATAGACGACTGACTGATTTCGATTTTTGAATTTCCACTAAATGCACTGCGCCTTGTCATACATTAAAGTGAGGCTTCAATAAATTTGTTTAATTTTATTTCACACTTTATTTTCAACACTGCACTATATACGCGCATACAAGCATATATTTTTATTTTTTAAGCACGCACACTGCCACAGCTTATTATTGTTGCTACTATTTTATTACAAAAAAATTTCAAAGAAAAAAATACTGGTAATATTTTATTAGTGCATAATTCTCCGAATTACTTAAAGCATAAAAAATAAAATGTTTTACATTAAAGCCATTCATTCTACATTTTACATCCAACCATCGAAACAATTAATTTATGGAATTAGTTTTTATTCAGCTCTATGGTATATACTCGTAGTTTCGCATCAACCCCATTCCACTTGCGGGATTATGCGAATAAAGAGTTTATTTCCTATGCATTGACTCAGTATTAATTAAGCCGTCGAATTGTCAACTTCCTTCTTCAATACAAATGCATAAATTATTTAATAAAAAGACAGTAGCGAACGTACAATAAACTGTATCACATAGAGTAGTGCTTTACACCCATGTGGCGCACAATTGCATGCGTTTGTGGGCACTACAGGGGTGCCAACTGTATGTGATGTGGTTATAGTTGCCTTAAAGAGCCATATGTGAGTAAAAAATTGATTTTGGTTAATTATATACCCAACTTGCATATACATGTACGTTTGAGAATATTCTCTGAAAAATTGAAATTGATGCGTCAAATGTTGCTAAAGAGATGAGTGTATTAAAAGGCTTTTTTCAACTGACATGTAAGGCTTTTTTTACAAAATGTAATCGGTTCGCTAAACTGTAAACGCATTTTTCTCGAAACACTGTTTTAGAGTCGAATATTTACATTACCGTTTAATAAAATACATAAGATTCTGTAAATTTACATTATGTTAGTTTACATATTTTACAATATAACCCTTTAAAGGAACAAAGAAATTCAAAAATTATTTTAAAAATTTATAAAAGTTGTATTAATATAAGAAATGAATGTCACTAAAAATAAGTTTTTTATTAGAAATATTTCAATATACAAAATGATTAA